GTAAGGAATTCCTGCTTTATAATGCTGCTTCCCATTGTGTTAGAAAGTTTATTTCAGCTGATTTCTGTGTCAAGATACAGATGGGATGCACAGGGCAGAGGAGAGAGAGGAGCTGGGGAGGTCACAGCGGTCACTGATAGGGGGTGTCAGGAAAAGAGCAGCTGCTGCAGGAGAGGAAGGTGGGGTAGGGAGGAAGGCAAACATTCCGCTGACCTGTTCCCTGTGGGGCAGCAGCAGGCAAAGGGGTCTGTGCAGATCAGCGGCGCTTCCTGGTCCCTCTTGCTCCTTTGGGATCCATGTCCTAAAGCGGCTCCTGCCAGGTCAGGGACATGAAGAAGAAAGTGCCCAGGTCACCAGGAGCTCCCCATTCCTGTCCCTCTCGCACTCTCTGTGCCCTGTCCTGGTGTTGCTCCCCTGGGCTCGGTGCAGTCACAGGGCAGTTGGAAATGGTTTTGCATCTTTGGCTTCCACACAGTTCCACAGCCTCGGGGTTGTTGATCTTCATTTTTTTAATTTTCCCTACGAATCAAATGCTCTTTTTCTTTGTTGTGAGAAACGACGCCTCACTTCTTAACATTTTAAAACTTTATTAAACTACAACAAGGGACAAGGTAAAAGGAAAAGTGCGCAGTGCGCACTCGCAGCCAGAGGCACGGCCAGAGGCACACAGAAACAAGAGGCCCAAAACAGAAACAAGATTTGTGCTCTCTTTGTAAATCACCCCCGGGTAATCCAACCCCCACATTCAGACCCATTCCGCTTTTCCAACAAAGCTCCTCCTCCGTCCCGCCTTCCCGGAGCTTGTGCCGCGCTTCGGGCTTCGGCTCCCCGCAATGGTCAGAGACCAGCGTTTCAACTCTCAACATGAACAGAGTACTCGTATTAGAAAAACCCCAAATTAAAAATAAAAAAGGAAAAAAGAAAAAGAAAAAAGAAAAAGAAAAAAAAAAAAAAGAAGGCGAAGGATGCTCCCTGTGATCCCAACCCCTCTCCTGCCATCCAGAGGCACCAGCCCTGCAGGGATTTGGGAAATCACCACCACCCCATGCTGAGTGTGTCCCCAGAGATTAAAGTGTCCCATGCTTTGCAGGCAAGAGCTCCCTGAAAACACCATGGAACTCATCTGCTGAGCCAAAGGAGATGGAGTTCATTCCCTGGGGCCGAGGTCATGAGGGTCATTCCATGGGGAATAGAGCTGGGGAACAGCACTGAGCCCAGCTGCACTGCTTGGAGCCATGTGGATCCAGGAGGGAGCAGGAAAGCCATGCTGCAATGTGCTCCCTGCAGAGCATCCCACAAAAATCACCCAAGGCAATGCTCCTGCTCCCTTCTCCTGCAGGAATACAGCACCATGGGGAGGGTGATCCTGTGGGTATTGATTAATAAATTGACCCAAGGGATCCCTCAGTCACTCTCCTGGGGTCACTCAGCAGAGTAGTAGGAGGATTCAACAGACTCACACCCCAGTGTCCCTGGTGGCATCATTTTTGTGTGTAGTTTTTATTTTCTGCCCCTCAAAGACCCTCTGGAGGGAGAGCCGGAGGGACTTTATGGAGCAGGGCCTCCAGCACCTCCCCCACAAGAAGTAGATGAAGGGTTTGATGCTGCTGTGGATGCAGTTGAGCAGGAAAACAACCTGGGAGGGCACAGTGATGTAACCGAACTCCTGCAGGAAATTCCAGAGGCTGAGGATGAGAGCCAAGAGCCCAATGACAAAGATAACGATGTCGTGCCTCTCGGGCTGCTGCTGCTGGGAGCCCCACTTGGCCCTAATGAAATCGACTGTGCTTGAAACGAGCATGGGTGCAGCAATGAAGAGCAGGATGATGAGGTACACAGAGATGAAAGCTGCCCGGCAGTGCTCCTGCTGGTGTGATGGGCACAGGAATGTCACCGAGGGAATGACAGTGAAGACAGCAAAGAAGGCCCAGTATCTGATATTGACCAGCACCCACAGCAGGCGCAGAGGAGGGTCACAGCGGCAGCAGAGCTTGGAGAAGTTCCGCATATATCGCTCGTTGTTGCCGAACGTCACCCGGTACAGTGCCCAGTAGCAGGATAAAACTGAGAGCTGGAAAACGAAGTTCATGTACATCAAGGGCAAGACAGGAGAGCAGGACACGTCCTCCACCAGGATGAGGAGGGCAGAGGGGACCGCAAAGAGGAGGAAGAGGAAGTCGAGAAGAGCCAGGATAAAGATGCCATTGTTCTTGAATATCAGGCT